AAAAATCCACCATGATCAAGTGGGTTTCATACCAGGGATGCAGGAATGGCTTAACATATGCAAGTCAGTAAATGTGATACACCACATAAACAGAATTAAAAGCAAAAATTGCATGATCACCTTGGTAGACACAGAAAAAGCATTCAAAAAAATCCAACATTCCTTTATGATTAAAATTCTCAGCAAAATCGGCATACAGGGAACATACCTCAACGTAACAAAAGCCATCCATCTCTGACAAACCCACAGCCAACATAATACTGAATGGGGAAAAGTTGAAAGCATTCCTTCTGAGAACTGGAACAACTTAAGGATGCCCATTCTCCCCATTTCTCTTCAACATAGTACTGGGAGTCCTAGCCAGAGCAATCAGACAACAGAAATAAATAAATGGCATCCAACTCAGCAAAGAGGAAGTCAACCTGTCGCTGTTTGCTGATGATATGATTGTTTCCCTAAAAATCCCTAAAGACTCCTCCAGAAAGCTCTCAGAACTGATAATAAAAAAAAATTCAGCAAAGATTCCAGATACAAAATTAATATACACAAATCAGTAGCTCTTCTATACATCAACAGCGACCAAGCTGAGAATCAAATCAAGAATTCAACCCCTTCTACAATAGCTGCAAAAAAATAAAATAAAATACTTAGGAATGTATCTAACCAGTGAGGTGAAAGACCTCTACAAGGAAAAGTACAAAATGCTGCTGGAAAAAATCATAGACAATACAAATAAATGGAAACACATCTCATGCTCATGGATGGGTAGAATCAATATTGTGAAAATGATTATACTGCCAAAAGCAATCTACAAATTCAATACAATTCCCACAAAAATACCACCATCATTCTTCACAAAATTGGAAAAAACAATCCTAAAATTCATATGGAACTAAAAAAGAGCCCACATAGCCAAAGCAAGACTACGCAAAATGAACAAATCTGAAGGCATCACATTACCTGACTTCGAACTCTATAAGGCCACAGTCACCAAAACAGCATGGTACTGGTATAAAAATAGGCACGTAGACCAATGGAACAGAATAGAGAACCCAAATACTTACAGCCAACTGATCTTTGACAAAGCAAACAAAAACATAAAGTGGGGATAGGACACCCTATTCAACAAATGGTGCTGAGATAATTGGCTAGCCACATGTAGGAGAATGAAACTCAATTCTCATCTCTCACCTTATATAAAAATCACCTCAAGATTGATCAAGGACTTAAATCTAAAACCTGAAACTATAAAAATTCTAAAAGATAACATTGGAAAACCCCTTTGAGACATTGCCTTAGGCAAGTATTTTATGACTAAGAAGCCAAAAGCAAATGCAACAAAAACAAAGATAAATAGCTGGGACTTAATTAAACTAAAGAGCTTTTGCATAGCGAAGGCACAGTCAGCAGAGTAAACAGACAATCCACAGAGTGGGAGAAAAATCTTCACAAACTACATCTGACAAAGGTCTAATATCCAGAATATACAATGAGCTCAAACAAATTAGCAAGAAAAAAAAATCTCATCAAAAAGTGGGCTAACGACATAAATAGAAAATTCTCAAAAGAAGATATACAAATGGCCAACAAACATATGAAAAAGTGTAGAACATCACTAATGATCAGGGAAATGCAAATCAAAACCACGATGTGATCCCACCTTACTCCTGCAAAAACGGCCATAATCAAAAAATAAAAAATAAAAATAATAGATGTTGGCACAGATGTGGTGAACAGGAAACACTTCTACACTGCTAGTGGGAATGTAAACTAGTACAGCCGCTATGGAAAACAGTGTGGACATTCCTTACAGAACTAAAAGTAGAACTACCATTTGATCCAGCAGTCTCACTACTGGGTATCTACCCAGAGGAAAACCAGTCATTATACGAACATGCATGTTCATAGCAGCACAATTTGCAATTGCAAAAATGTGGAACCAACCTAAATACCTATCAATCAACGAGTGGATAAAGAAACTGTGTGTTTTATATATATATATACACACATATATATATACACACACACATTCCATATATATTCCATCATATATATATATGATGGAATACTACTCAGCCATAAAAAGGAGTGAATGAATGACATTTGCAGTGACCTGGATGAGATTGGAGACTATTCTAAGTGAAGTAACTCAGGAATGGAAAACCAAACATTGTATGTTCTCACTCATATATGGAAGCTAAGTTATGAGGATGCAAAGGCATACAAATGACACAATGGACTTTGGGGACTCAGGGGAAAGTCTTGAGTGGGGAGTGAGGGATAAAAGACTACAAATTGGGTGCCATGTATACTGTTCGGGTGATGGGTGCACCAAACTCTCACAAATCACCACTAAAGAACTTATGTAACCAAACACCACCTGTTACCCAATAACCTATGGAAACTAAAAAAAAAAAAAAACCCAGAAATAAAGGCAGTCTCACTGAACTGAGTTTGCTTCTTGTTGTTGTTGTTGTTGTTCAGGTTTT